GCCTTATTTTCATGCTCTATAAATTGGAATTAATAGTGTTCTAATTTACCTCATGCCTGTGAAGTAATATTCTGTGGTGGAGGATGCTATAGAAGCACTAAATAGCATTGCAGTTGAAGGCCAAACAACCATAGATTTTAAGTGGACAGATTTTCTTTCCAGATAAACAATTTTAGAGTCAGTGGGCTAAATTATGCTCCCAGACAAGTTCCTACCTCAGGCATCTGCATTCATACTTCAACCTACCAAGCCCTGAATGTGACACAGTGCAGCGAAGATCCAGTATGCAAGAAGGTATCATTCATGTAAGAAATGTAATGCTGTATGATTCGCTACTGTAAATAATATCGGTTTATTTCTGTTGTAAATAATTTTCAACAAGTGACATCAACTTTGTATGAGAGCAGAGTATTATGTTAAAAAACATCCCTCAAAATTAGGTACATTTGAGATGTATATCTGCATTTGGTTTAATACAGTAGTTTTAATCTGGATATAAATGCACCCAGCTGATGTCTCTTCTGTTAAAAGAAGAGCAGTGCAAAAGCTGGACAAGATATATAGTGGATAAAACATTAACTTATTTTTTTTTCTGAAGACTGATTCAATGTCTCATACATTTTTAACTGTATTACTTGATGGTTTCAATACAATTTTTCTGTTCTTTATGTTGGAGCTACATCCATGTTTAAAAATCTTTTCATAATCTGCCATCACATGCTATTTCCATACCAACCTTTGGCTACATCAGCCTGAGTGTTAATGCCTGAACTTTGCTGGAGCACTACATTCTGTGCTCTTTCTAGAGTCTGGAAAAACAGAAGGTTCATATCAGCTGCACCTCTTCCTCCTGCTGAACTTCATAGGAATTGCATCTGAGCAGTCTGCTCTGCAATATAATGAGGAAAGCTAACAAAAAAACCCCTAAATGCCTAAATTAAATAAATCTTAACTGAAGCTAGAGGTCAACAGAAAGTGAGAGAGTTTGCATGCAGCCACTTCACTGGCTAGGGCGTGCAAATCATATCAGTGGATTGGTTCTCCCTGAAAAGCTCTTCAGTATCTCTGTGTAATCTTAAAGGCTTGTCTCTCACCAACAGAAGTTGGTCCAATAAAAGATATTACCAAACTCACTTTGTCTCTCTAATATCCTGGGCCTACCACAGCTATAACAACACTGCATACAACAATAGAAATTGAAACTATGCGCACTCAATATGAAAAAGCACATATGAAATACATTTGTTCCATCGAGGCATTCTGGGATTAATGTGAACAGGGGCATTAAAGATGGAATGATTTAGTAACAGCAGAAATGTGATATGCAATGTCAGCCCTACTATGTCAGCACATTATGCTCTCTATCGAGTATACATAACTGATGGAGTTTGTGTGGATATATAACATAGCACACGTACTGTCTCTGTGGTCATATCGGCTGTCACTCCCTCCTATTAACATCATCAAGTGCTTGTCCCTTGTCCTGCAAAAATGCTTTGTCCTACTAAGTTTGAGTTTACTACTCACTCTGCCTAAAAGTCTTATATGTAGTTGTATTGCTGGTGAGCCTGTTCCCAAGATAGATTTTTTTTTTTACGTTCAAATTTGTAACTGGATATTTCACCCATGCAATAAAAGTACAAGATATGGAGCGTATGACTGTACATTGCCTTTGCCTTGAAAAGCCAGCCTTGCAAGGTCACTTGTGGTTCTATGCAGGGGCTGCCAATCAGGCCTGGGCCAACAACATTTTTTGGGATGTTTTAATTTGTGTGAGAGGTACTGTAAAATGAAAGGCAGAATTTAAGAATAAGCATTACTAGTACAATAGAAACCTTTACAGGAGGGTGCTGTGTGTAATTTCAGAATTCACAGTTATCACATGCATCTGGTATTCCCACTGTGTATATATATTGTTGTGCTTTTGCTGAGCAGTAGCAGGTTTTCAGGGCCTTGCTGGTCACTTTGTTGTTTGGCATAAAAATTGATGTGGGGTCAGGTAATTTCTTAATGTACACATCCTGTTTCCCTGAGCAGAGGTAGCAACAACCTCTTGCAGGAACCTTAGGTCAGGCACCTCTTCCCTGTTCCCAGAACCAGCTGCCTGGGGCTTCTCTCTCACTATCACTTGCACACAACTCCAGCAGATCCACCTGCTTAAACATGCCTTCTGCCCTTTTTCCTCCCTCAGCCTGTGCGCTTTTCACACGGGAAACTTCTAGTTCAGGGCTTCTCTCCGACCACATGGTCTGGAAAAGGTGGACTAGCCATTAACTCTCCTATGTTGTGCAACATAAAGGAAGCTCAGAGAGGTCCAACAGCCCCCACTGTGCATACCCAGACCCTTAATGAGTCTCTGATGGCAGTTACTGCATGGCATCTTCAACTCTTTCTATTCAGAATTTCATCCTGCGTGTCTATCATCGGTGACTAGAACTGGTTGGAAATTTTCTGACAATGTTTTTCCATTGGGAAAATACCAATTTGTTGAAAGCAAAACATTTAGTGGAAATGTGTCAGTTTTGACAAATCTTCCAGTGGAACATAGGTTTCAAAACTTGTGTGCCAGCCAGGTTTCTTGACAGCTTGCCCACCCAGCTCTTTGGCATACTGCCTGAAGAACTGCTTTGGAGTTGGGATCCCGATTCCCAGGACTTCCAGGGTTTGTGGTACCAGGATAGCCAGCATCCCCAGAAAGACTGTCTGAGGACCAGGGACCCCAGGGCTTCCAGCCTCCAGCACCGGCTCCCTGGGTTGACCAACTCTCTGGGCAGCTTGCTCCCCAGTCTTTGAGCATCAGACAGGCTAGGGAAAAGGCAGGTCCAGGAGCCTGGAAGCCCTCTGAATCACCATCTCTGAGGAAGCCTACATGTGGGAGCTGCTGTTGAGCCAGGACCCTCAGAAGACCTGGAAGCTCCTGACTGAAATTGATGAGATTCTTCTCAGTTTCAGGAATACCCACCACTTAATAGCAGTGGTGAGCCCATAGCATATTTTGTTTCAGAACATATTTCAGTGCTTCCAAAACAAATTATTGCAGGATTTCAGTTCTGTGAAAATTTTTGAATTTTTTGTCTTTTCATCCCAATTCAGGATGAAAAAAAAATTCTGAAAATTCTAAATGTATTGTACAATGCAAATGTGGTTGCCTGAGCAAGTCTATCAATGACCCCCAAATCTGCAAGCCAATAGCATTTTTTGCTGTAGCATTATGTGTGTGTGTGTGTGTGTGTGTGCACTGTAAAAATATATATTTATTCCCCTCTTTTGTGGTGCATTAAAATGACCACAATTCAGAACAACTATTTAGCCCCTGCTATACAACCCATCTGTCTAATAACAAATCATATCAAATCTTTGACTTCTTTTAAAGCAGTAGTGCTCAATCTTGATTTTTCTTTTAAACTGTAGTGTGTGTGCATGCCTTTTCCAATCTGCCCAGTGTGCCAAAAACCCTTAGAGGCAGTGATAGCTTCATGCAGTAATTATCCCCATCCCTGGACTGAGAACCATTTGAGTGGACCCTTTGCCCACCAATTGACTTCAGTGGCGCTTCACAGGGGTGCATATGTGAGTGCAGGAGCACTGGCTTACTCATGAGATTTCTAGACATGGGGCTGGTTAAAAGCCACATTAAGAGCTTGAGTCTGTGGCTCTAGGGCAGGGGTTCTCAAACTGGGGGTCGGGACCCCTCAGGGGGTCATGAGGTTATTACATGGTGGTGGGGGGGGAGGGTTTGCAAGCTGTCAGCCTCCACCCCAAACCCTGCTTTGTCTCCAGCAATTATAATGGTGTTAAATATATTAAAAAGTGTTTTTAATTTATGGGAGGGGTCGCACTCAGAGGCTTGCTATATGAAAGGGATCACCTGCACAAAAGTTTGAGAACCACTGCTCTAGGGGAATACTGCCACATGCCAATTATTATAACAAATTATAATATTAACCTGGTATCTTTTGTTACTTTTGGCTGGTGATTTTACCTATTGTCTATCATCTTATTCATACATTGACAGCTCTTTAGGGCAAGGACTGTCTTTATTGTTATACGTTTGTAGGATGTTTAGCATAATGGGGCCCTGGCCTTTATTACAACATAAGTAATAAATACATAATAATAAACCATGGAAAATGCGTAGGGGGCATACATTCCATTGGGCTGGAGGGTTATTGAGCATTGAGAGGGAGAGGTTACCAAGAGATGCATAAATATTTGGGAGTTGCAGAGCAAGGTCACTAGTGCATGCTAATCTGGTTAGAAAGGTTAGTACTAGTATTAGTAAAGATCATCTAGAGGAGGAGCTAGAAGAAAATACATTTCCCAGAGCAGGGAGGTGGATGAACCTAGTTTATAGTGTTTGCGCTTTTGGGGAGCATGGGTGTGTGCCACACATAGAGGTCATGGTAAGCTGGGGGGAGGGATAGCTCAGTGGTTTGAGCATTGGCCTGCTAAACCCAGGGTTGTGAGTTCAATCCTTGAGGGGGGGCCATCTAGGGATCTGGGGCAAACATCTGTCAGGGACAGTACTTGCTATGAAGGTAGGCGACTGGACTTGATGACCTTTCAAGGTCCCTTCCAGTTCTATGAGATAGGTATATCTCCATTTAAAAAAAAAATGATGGTGCTACTACAGGAAAATGGGGGAAGGGGATTGGGAAGTTACTGGATATTTACAGCTGGAGAGTGGACACCCAGTTTTGGAGGGGGAAGGGTAGGGAAAACTTCCCTGTCCTCGCTCTCCCCCCCCCCCCCCCCAAAAAAGAACTCACTGGCTTCTTCTATTCCCCCCTTTTTCCACCGGGAAAGAGGCACTGTCGCTTTAAGGCGCGGGGATGGAAGCGCTCGCCGCACACGCCGCACAGGGCAGGCTGCCGGGCGCGGGCGCAGCCAGGCAGCCCTGACTGAAGTGGGCAGGGGGAGGCGAAGGCAGCGCTCGCCCCGCTGGCTGGCAGCCCGCTCAGCGCGCCTGGAGCCGGGGCAGAGGCTATGCTGCGCTAGCCATGTCCAAGCACCCGCCCTCCTCCTACGGCAAGAACGGGCTGGCGGACGGGCTGCACACACCCATCTTCCAGGTGCCTCCCCTCCCTCCGCCCCTGCTCCGCTCTCCGCCTTCCCAGCTCGGGGCTCCGGCGGCTGGAGAGCATCGCCTCGGCGCCGGGCTGCAATGGCTGCGGTGGGTGCTGGGCTGGAGCCTCGCTCGCTCCCGCAATCCCCGGAGGGGCTGGGGCGGGCGAGGGCAGGGCCAGCGGGCTTGGGTTAGGGGTGACCCGTTACCAGAGCTCCGGGCTGAGCCACCGGCCCTTCGTGTATCTGGGCAGCGTGGCCGGCTCCCCTCCCGGCGCTGGCCAGGCTGGACCGGTCGCTGCCCCGGCGAAGCGGGGTCCCCGCCGCCCGCTCTTGTGACCCGACCTGTCTTTCTTCCCTCGGCGAGCGCAGGTGGCCCGCGGGACGGCGACCCGGCGGAGCCGGTTGAAACGATCCGACGGCAGCACAACGTCCACCAGCTTCATCCTCCGGCAGGTACAGTGCGGGCCCGGGGAAAGCGGCGCGGGGAGGAGGCGGTGGCCGCACAGCCCGGCTAGCCGCTGCGCTGTCAACGTGCGGGCTGGCTCATAGTCTGTTGGGTGAGAATCGAGTTTCTTTGGGGAAATGCCTGTCGCAGGGATTCCTGCTGCACCCAGCGCTCCGGCCGTACTGGGATATTTCACCCCGTAGTGTCTAGCTCTTAAAAGCCTTGTCGCGTTTTCCCCCTCTGCAAACCAGGTCTTCGCTCCGGCTTTAACTTGCTTTGGTTTTAGTCATTTAGTCTGTATTCGTTTTGCTATAAGACAGGCCCCCAGGGAAATAGATTTACACAGCAGAATCCTGGGCGATCCAAAAGATCTCAGGTGTAGTTCGAAACCTTTGGGTAAACAAGAGTTTGGGTAAAGAGGAATGAAGTAAGTTTTCGGGCCAGAAACATAACTGAGATTTGGGTGAGAGGGGCTTTTCGATAAGGGCGGTTGCAGCTCCCTGTTTCCCCAAAGATTTGGGACAAGGTAAAGGGAGTGAGAGTGGAAATGAAAAGGGAATGGCTCCCATTGACTTGGATTCGCCTTGGTTAAACTAGTAAGTGCACAAGAATTGGTAACATTTCTGATTTAACTCTTCCCAATTGTTGAGTATTTATTTCTCGAAAATGCTGCCTGACAAACCGCTCGGCTTTGAGATGCTGTCAGTTAGAGTCCGTCTCAGCCAAAAAGCAGGAAGATGGGCTACTAGATGCCCTGAGCTAACCTGGGTCACATCCAGCCCCTTCTATCAAATGCTGACTGCAGAGTCCTTTTATTTAGACTTGCCTGAAGGCAAATTTCCTCCCCTCTCTCTCCTATGTGTATTGAAGAATTCTGCTGTTTTCTAAGACCCTACTTGCTAGCTTAAGTGTATTTAGGGAACTTTAGCACTTCCAAGCTGAAGCACCTGAAATATTAGGGTCTCCATACAATATACACAGAGGTTTGTTTTGTTTGTTTTTTAGCTATGACACGTTTGTTATTTTTTCCTACTTATTTTGTGAATGAAAATAAATGATAGTGTTTATTATTTTATATATATAGTGACACTGGCATGTTCAGCACATATTAGACATAATTTAATGTAATTTTCTCTTAAATGATCCAAAAATAATTTGTGAGAAAATAATTGTGTGTTTTACTGATTTTTGTTCCATAAACACTGAACATTACAGCAGCAGGATTTGAAATTAACATCAAAAGGTTATTTGCCCTCTTGTTCTCATAAGAAACAGACTTTTTCTTTAGGCTATGAGCCACTTCAGTATAAACTAAGCTCAATAAATCATTGGAGACATTTTTAAAGCAGCCCCAGATACTTTTGTCTGGATTTCCTTGCAACTTTATTTTGAAGCAAATTGCAATTGAAAATTAACTTGGAAAAAATTGTGGATTTTGATGCATTGGAGCTTGCTTGTATTTTGTAGACACCAACGCTTATTTTTTTGCATTGCTAGGCCCTAATGCTGTACTCATATCTATGTAGTGGGTACATTTATGTCTGTGCAAAGCCCCACGTAGGGCCCACGCAGATTGGATTGCAGGGTCAGGGCTGTAGCATTTTATTGGATAGAAAGTGTAATTACTGGCTATCTATCTGAGTCAAACCTGCATCTGAACACCCCAAAACTTTGGGTGAAGTTTGGATTTGGATCTGAACTTATGCAGTATTGCCAACACCTGGTGTTCAAAAATTACAAGACAGGCCTAAAAAAAAATCGTGAGTTTGGCTCAAAGATGATTTTAATATTATACGTTGGGTTCTTTGTATGTGTCTTTTAGTTTCTGAGCTATTGGGATACAATTGGGTCATGTTTTCAAGTTATTCTGTGCAACCATAAGGGCTAGAAATGTACTTTACTTGAAAATTTCAGCTTTTTTTTTTTTAGTTACTTCACTCCAGGAGCTGGGACTTTAAGGAAAACACCAGAGATTGTGCAACTTGTGACTAAATTGTGAGAGTTGGCAACGATGTTTTAGTTTTAGACCTGCGGGTACTAATTATCCTCCAGCAATAATCCTCCTCCTTCTGGCACGACAAGGATGTCACAGGAGCAATTTAGGTGACATCCTCCTGTCTATATTCACCCTTTGCCTTCTATTTCCACTCTTCCATTGTTGGCTGCTAGCTTGTGCCAATATAACTTGCCCCAATAAAAACTAACATCCATGGTCTAATTGAAGCTCTGGCGTTCTCTCCCATGTGATGTCTGCTCAGTAAACACAATTTTAAAGAAGTAAATTATAAAATGCCAATCTCTTAAATGGTTTGTTCATTCTTTGTTTATATCTAAAGAGTTTTCTTGTTTTGGGGTCTCATCCCGCATTCATTACATGTGCTAAACTCCCAGTGGGAGGGCAGGGAAAGCAGGATTGGGCCCTGAACAGTTTCGGGATGTTTGCCATGGAAAGAACGTCTTTCATTTAACTATACTGTATTGTAGTACAGGACACTGAAGTGGTGAATCATGATAGCCTCACAGAAAAGAGAAATATATAACCAATAGAAGTAATCATTTCCAATTGCTTTGTGATATTTTCTGTTCAACTGCACAAATCAGAATGACAGCAATTCCATGTTAGCAATCCTTGTTTTCATTGGAAATGAGCATGAGACATCACTGTAGCACAAAAGAGAGATAAGAAAATGAAACTTAACATGACTTGAAGCCAAATTATTAGAATACTTGCAAAAAAAAATACATGAATCCAATTTTAGTCTATGTTCATGGATTGAGCCAGTTCAGCAGGTTTTACAGAAAGGGTGTGGGTGCTTACTGTACTTGTCAGGGAGAATCTTTTAGATTCTTTCTGTTACATCCTTTAAAGTAATGGATTTCCAGAGTAGTGTTAAAACATCGACTGTGGAAGTAAGGCTGCATTTTATTTGTTGTCATTTTAGGTTGGCAGAGTCAGGTAACTGAGTGTTCCTGCATGTTGCAGTGTGCGCTGAATTCCCACTGGAGTGAAGGGCACTCAGTTTCTCCGAGTGGTGCTCAACACTGTGCAGGATTGGGCCCTTCGCAGCTGACCTTGCAAAACCTTACTCACAGGAGTAAGGTTGTGAGAGTTGGCAATGGTTTAGATTGTTTAGATGACTGCCCAGTTGAAGCCAGTGGGGCTACTTGTGTAACTGTGAGTCAGGCCCTAACAACCTAGCTGTCATAATTGAGTTCTATTGCATCTGACATCTTATTTGTGTTCAAATGTGGAAATGTTCCCTGTGCTTTGTTCAGTTTCTCATGTTCCAGTGCTTTGTGTAGTTCTTAACCACAGTATGTCTGAATAGCTGCTAGTCTGTATCTCATCGGGAGTCAAGTCAGAGAGTCTCAGGCTCTACTCATGGAAACCCTGTATAATGCCCTACTAAAGAAATACACATCTGTTATTGAAGGGGCACGTGCAAATATTTGAGGCCTGGCATTTTGATCTTATTTATAATTGATAATAGTTTGATGCTAGATCTTGTATGTCTTGCACACCCAAAATGTATTGATTTTACTAGGAACCGTGAGTGTGCAGTGGATACAGAACTGGGCCCGTGATGGAGAAAGTCTTCTAGATGCTAAAGGCCTGATTTTTCAAAACTGCGCATGTAAATATATAGGTGCACAAAAAATGCACTAACTTGCATGCTTAGTTGTCATAATTGCATGCACAACTCATAACTGTGCATCTATCTGGCCTCACTGTAGGGAATTTGCACATGCAAACAGCTAGCACATGCAAAAATCTAGCTTGCCTCTTGCGTGACTAAATACCCAATTTGTTTGTACAAATACTGCAGTTCTGCATACACAACTTTGAAAATCAGGGTCAGTCTACTGGCTTTTTTTAAAATCCACCACTCTATCACCAATAGACAGGGCCGGCTCCAGGCAGCAGCTGAGTAAGCTGGTGCTTGGGGCGGCAGATTGTTCGAGGCGGCGTTCTGCCCAATCCTAGGGCGGCACGGCCGCTTTTTTTTTTTTGTTCCGCTCCGGCCGCCCTGTAAGGGGCGGCGGCGCGGAGAACCAGAGCGCCCTGCAG